CCCAAAACCCCAAAACCCCAAAACCCCAAAACCCCATGAATGCTAATAAATAACTAAATACAAAAATAGAAGAATAAAATAACTGTGAGGATTAAATTTTAAGGTCTAAAATATTAGTTGGTTAATTCAACTTATCGATCGATTATCTTATATCAAATAGAGAGTATAAGACTTTGAGACTTTGCTCAGTTGTTTCCGAAGACTCCAATTTGTCTTCTTGTCTTGTTTGGTGTGTATTGCCTGTAGTTAACAGTGGGGTATGGGGAGTTTCCAAGAATACCTTCCATAGTATCTTCTAATTCCTTGCTCCATTTTCTATAGAGGTCAAGAGCCTTTACGTTTTCTGCAACATAGTGAGCTTTTGAGAATCCAAGAATAAGACTTGAGACATCTTTGTTAGCAAGAGACCAGGCAAGAGCGAGTTGAGTTTGAGTATAGCCATGTTCTTTGGCAAGCTCTCCAAGTCTATTGAGGATCTAGATAGATTTTTCTCTCTTATCTGGGGAGAAGAATTGACCTAGAGTCATATCTTTGAAGTCCTTGAATGAATCATCAACAGTAAATCTAGAATCTTCTGGGACGTTGCCATCATTGTATCTACCAGTAAGAATACCGGAGGCAAGTGGAGACCAGCAAGTACTTCCATATCCAAACTTGCTGAAAAGAGTGGCGTAGTCTTTCTCAAGTCTATTACGAACTAGCATATTGTACTGTGGTTGCTCAGTGACTGGGGCATGGAGACCATTTGCTTGTGCATAAACGATAGCATCAGTAATTTGATCAGCATCCCACTCTGAAGTACCCCAGTAGAAGGCATATCCTTGCTCAATAATCCATGAAAATGCCTTTACAACCTCTTCTAGTGGAGTTTCCTAATCGTATCTATGGGCATAGATTACATCAACGTACTCAAGTTGAAGTCTTGAAAGAGAATTCTTAGTTCCTTCGATAATATGCTTTCTACTCAATCCTTTACGATTAACGTGTCTTTGGTCCATAGTAACAAAACCATCAGTTCCAAAGAAAAGCTTTGTGGTGACAACGATATCTTCTCTTCTAACCTTCAAGTCCTTGAAAGCCTATCCAAGAAGAACCTCAGCTTGACCTAAGGAGTAGATCTCAGCTGTGTCGAAGAAGTTAATGCCATATTCAAGACATTTTCCAACAATTTCAGTAGTTGAGGCTTATGGGTCGGCAGATTGATGATTGACCATATTTCCGAATGATAGAGCTGATACTCTGAGTCCAGTTTTACCTAGGTATCTGTATTCCATGGCGGGTTTCTCTTCTTTTTGTTCCATTGATAGTTATGTATGGATTGAAAGTTTGTATATTTAATAAATATCTTTTTATTAAGTTTATTTGCAGGATTTAATATACCTAAGTCAATTCAACTAAATTACGTGGAAAAATCTACTATTAAATATCATCCATTAATATTTTATTTATTTTATATTCTTACCAAAAACTCTTTGCTTTTTGAATTTGAGTAATTGGGGTTT